CCTATAGTTTTTACAAATACGTGGTTTTGCTGAGGGCACTGTGCTTTTACGCATAATGGACACGCATATGACGTCGTTTTTGTTGTAAAACTTGAATATGCTCTTATAGTTTTAGAAATATTAATACATATTATTCTATTCAGAATGCGTGCGTCATTGTGCATTGTTGTCCCGCCTTACGTGTCACTCACAGTTAAAATGTAAATAACCAATTCAAACATAGCATTTTTACAACTTGAACTTTAAGAAAAAAATGCTCAAAGGAATCAGTGTAAAATAAGATCGGAAAAGCTCAATTCATGATTGTTTAATTAGGTTTCCCATTTTTAAATACAATTGGAAACGCTCAGAATTCAAAAATATTGAAAAGTGTATTGGCTCCTACAGTGGGGGGAATAATAATAATAATTATAATAATAATATAACCCCCTGAGCGTCATCACGTTCCTACGTTGCTTCAAATATAGTCCTGTTTATTGGCTGAACAATTTTGTCCAATATCATATCACACAGCGTGAAGCGAGAACAACCAGCTATTCCTCGTCTTAAAGATTGACAACGCTCTCAAAGCATTCACAACAGAGCAGCCTTTTTCATTTTAATTTTAGGAAAGTTCAGCGTGAACTTTGTGAGGTAGAGGAGCCAGAGGCCCGGGCCCGTAGGTCCCAGAGGAGGAGAGCGCGGTCAGGCCAGGCTCGCACTGATGAGGTAAACTCTAGGCCTGTGTGAGACACACTGTGGGCCTCACTGTAGGCCTCACTGTGGGCCCCACTGTGGGCCTCACTGTGGGCCTCACTGTGGGCCTCACTGTGGGCCTCATGTATGAAACCTGCGTACGGCCAAATCAGGGTAAATGAGGCGTACGCAAAATCAGGGTAAATGAGGCGTACGCAAAATATTACACTTTTCCGCATTTATCTATCTGGACGTGAGCGTACAATACGCAAAAAATAAACGCCAGGTCTGGAGGTGGTGTAAATCTATACGCTGAACTCAACCTTCGGCACAACACGCATGAAATTCAAGATATGTACAACAATAAACATATTCCCTCTGGCAAAATTATATGCTGCAGTTTTCATTGAGGATCATGTTTCAAAATTTGAGCATCAGAAAAAGTCTAATGGAAACACGCAAACTTCGAATAAATCACAGCTCATGATGAGGACCCTCTATTAAATCTGACTTGTGTGTGTATTATTTTGATCTGTATGTTTTTAAAATGTGAAGCGCTTTGTGATCCTGGACAGTGAAAGGCTCTATATAAATACACTTTACGCAACCGGGATGTGTGACCCATCTATTGCTGTGGTAGGCTCTGCGCTGCGTAATTACGCACGGCTATTTGTATTCCTCATTCACATCTGGTAAAGCAATGTGTTATTTCATTAGATTTGTGTAACCCTCACACAGACACACACCCCAATAACGCATCGATGGTATTGCTCACTCAAACGTCTCACTGCCCTGTCCAGAGTGCGCAGCGAGTGCCGTGAGAGGTCGCGCCACATGTGCAGAAGTTTTGGCTCTAGAGTTTCTTTCTGAAATCTGGACCGCAAACGCTCTCTGAAGTGTACAGCGCCTCAATGCGCACTTCTACCCCGAGCCAGGCTGCGTCCAAGACGCTGCAGACGCTTCATTTATGAGAGCCACCGCTGCATAATGTATATGAATTAATTCATTCATTCAATCAATCTATATTTATTCACTTCTACAATTCAAGAAGGATTTTTGTAATGTATCAGAACATTTTGGCAAATTGCGTAAATGGAATATACACCCAAAATGTACACCTTTTTCAACGCAAGTTTCATAAATGAGCTTGTGTGTATGTGCGCGCGTGAGTGCGTGTGCGTGCGTGTGTGCGTTTGAACCATATTCTTTGAAACCCCAATTCCAGTTAGCCCTTGTAGTTAGCAAGCGAATTTGGCCTACTTACTAATCTGCAGGCCTACCCAAAATTGCAAACCTGGCGCCGATACTGTTGCGAGGATGAACGGAGGGAGATATGTTTCCAAAAAGAAAAGGTGGTGGAGCTAATTTTACTTTTCTTATCTGCAACACGTTCTTATTCTGAGGTGGTAGGTTGGAAAAATGTAGTTGGCTACTACAATGCGAGATCTACAAGGCTTATAATATAAAGTATTCAGTAGCCCTATAGACTAGTTATGAGCGAAAGCCGCTTGTTGCTCCATTATCCGCGCGCAGCAATAACATGTCTATGAGCGAGGCCCGCAGTCGGGGAACACCGGGCCCTCCGGCGTTTGGAAGGTCCGGACCCGGGGAACACCGGACCCGGGGAACACCGGACCCGGGGAACACCGGACCCGGGGAACACCGGACCCGGGGAACACCGGACCCGGGGAACACCGGACCCGGGGAACACCGGACCCGGGGAACACCGGACCCGGGGAACATCGGGCCGACCCCCTTTTGTTACTTTAGCCCAGAACGTCATTCTGCTAACAAATACAGTAGGTACAACACTGTGAACATTTGAACCCTTACAGCTATGACTTTTTACCCTAGTATTCTTGCACTGGGGTGTAAGATTGATTTATCTACAGATATATACATGCAAGTACATGTTTCTTGCACTAGAAGATGCAGTATTCTATTTATATTTGCTTCTTTATTATTATTAATCTTTATTAAAAACACAACATGATATGGCCCATAAGTAAAAGAAAATGTACAGTCCATAGTGCGTATTGCATATAGAAAAAAAAGCTAAATATGGTGATTGTATTGAGCAGTCCTACATTCGGCATTCATCTATCTTGTGTTCTTTACCTTGTGATGCAACACTGAAATTTACCCACAGTGGGACAAATAAAGGATCTCGGGATTCCCTACGATGAGCCTCAGGGAGTGTGTATGGAAAGGGAAGTCTAGGCGTCTCTGCTTACACTGAACCCCCCACAACCTGGCGACGGATAAAGTGAAAGAAAATGGTTGACTGGAGCTGCTCTCTTATGCTAAACCTCCACCGTTCTGTATTCAGTCCCCTCGCAGGTGCATAGGGACCAGGATCATAAGTGTAAATGATAGACAGCTCTGAAACATGTCGTGAACTGGCGGTGGTTGTCGAAAGCGATTTGTCACTCAAACACACACTGTCTATTACCGCCGCAGAGTACAGCAAAATCCCAGGTCTTTAAACGTGTCATTGTTGGCTGTAAACCTATGGAGTGAGTGACATCTGATGTGTTAGCGGGTGAATGAAATGGAAAGAGATTGTGCCTCCCTCAGCAGAATACACAATGAGTCCATCTGCAGTAAAGGCAGAAGCAGAGATGACTTGGACCGAGATGTGGATAGGACCGCTGGGAAACTGCAGATAAAATCAAGTGCAAGGTTCCTATACAGACTATATACTGTGTAAAAGCCTGGATCTTACACTGGTGCTTTCAAATATTCTGCAAAAGTGAATTAAATGAAACCTATTAGTTAAAGATGGCTGTCTAAGGAATGACAAATGGTTACTAGACATTAAAGGGTGGGATATATTGGATTGGAGCATATATCCAATTCAATCCAATCCAATCCACTTTATTTATATAGCACATTTAAACAACAAAACGTTTCCAAAGTGCTGAACAACAATAACAATAAAACAAAAACAATACAAATGAGCTCCACCAAATAAATAGAAATTAAAAACTACAAATAAAAATAAAATCCAATAAAATAGATAAAAAGACACAGGGGGACCACACAACTTACGCGGTGCTAAAAGCGAAAGAATAAAAGTGAGTCTTAAGACGGGATTTAAAACACTCCACGGTGGGGGCCGTACGGATGTGGAGGGGCAGAGCGTTCCACAGCTTAGGGCCGACAATGGAGAACGCTCTGTCCCCTCTGGTTTTACGGTTCGTCTTCAGAACCACGAGCTGGAGCTGGCCCTCAGACCTCAAAGCGCGAGAGGGCCGGTAAATTTGGATGAGGTCTGTAATATACTGAGGGGCCAGTCCATTCAAAGCTTTAAAAACAAACAATAAAATTTTAAAATCAATTCTAAAATTAACAGGGAGCCAGTGCAAGGACGCAAGGATTGGGGTAATATGTTCGCGTTTTTTGGTCCCTGTTAAGAGTTGTGCCGCAGCGTTCTGGACTAACTGCAGACGAGAGAGTGCTTTCTGGCTAATTCCCGAGTAAAGTGCGTTACAGTAGTCCAGACGGCTTGAAATAAAAGCGTGCACGACTTGCTCAAAAAGATTAAAAGATAAAAAGGGCTTAACTTTAGATAAAAGACGAAGGTGATAAAAACCCGATTTTAAAACGCCATTAATCTGTTTATCAAATTTAAAATCACTGTCTATGGTGACGCCAAGGCTGGTGACCTTGGGATGCAAATAGTTTTGGAGTGATCCCAAGTCCGTGAGGTTACATCCAAATGTCATTACTTCTGTTTTTCCCTCGTTCAGTTTTAAAAAATTCTGGGCTAACCAAGCCTTGACGTCACCTAGACAGTCGAGCAGGGGTGTCAGGGGGCTGTGGTCATTCTTAGCAATGGGCATGTACATTTGACAGTCATCTGCATAAAAGTGGTAAGACATGCCATATAGTACAACAATGTTTTGGGACATTTATGGACATTTATGGACATTATAAACATTGGTCATGCCGCCTTCTAAAGACCAATGGCTCCTATGTGTTTGTCATTATTATACTGTTTGACTCTCTGTTCTGTTGTTGAGGAATCGACAACATTATAAAGTTCTGCGAGACGACTGCTGTTATGATTTAGGGCTGTACAAAAAATATAAAAAATTGGCTTGAATTATCTACTGACATCTTGAATCCAAACCAACACATTTACAAACCAAGTCGCCTATGAAATTGTAAATCTATGTAACACTTCTAATTCGTCTATTACGTGAAAATGTGGTTTAAAATTGAGTCACTTTAGTGTGATATTAATGTCCTATCTCCATAAATAAACTGATGCTCAGTTTCTCTGAGCATCGTTAGCTTGCTAGCATTGTTTGCTGCTCTCTATGGAGTTGTTTCAGGACCTAGTGAAGGCCAAGGGTTGTATCTCCTCACCCTTCAACTCCTATGAGGTGCAGAAGATCCTGGGCTCAGGATCTTTCGGCCTGGTCACCCTCTGTCGCAAAAACAGCAGCAACCAGAAGGTGGCGCTCAAGATGGTCAAAAACGCGTCCGGTGCAGCTGAGGTAAGACAACTAAATAAATGTTGATTGAGCACCAGTAGGTCTTTGTTACTAGCTAAGCATAATAAAGAAGCAAGTCCCAATGCTAACAGCTAAAGCAAGTGGAAGTGTCCCAAATATTTGAATATAATCTGTTCAAAAGGAAAATTCGATTGTATTACTCCATATTTTGCCAAAAATACATTTAAGCACAATATATGTCAGGTACAGTATGTTGCTATAGTGCCCTCGACGATAGTATAGGAGAATTGTGTGAGTTAGTTTAGTTTTTTTTTGCTGCAAACCTGCTGGTCTTCTAAACACAGAAGACTCTTGGGGAAATACTTACACAGTTCGAAAAATGAGTATATGTATATAAATATATAGGTCATTTTTTTTCATTTTTATTTTGTCCATTATGTGTAAATGTGGTTTAAAGTTGAGTCACTTTAGTGTGATATTAATGTCATAGCTCCATAAATAAAGCAATGGAAGAAATGTACAGTGGTCCCTCAGTATAAAGGTACAGTAGGAGTGAAATAATCTGTTGAAAATTGTCAGAAAAAGATAAAAGATAAAAGATTCAAGTCATTTTAGCACTCCAGTTTACCAATAAGTGAAAATTTTCTTTGAAACCACCTGTATGCAATTGGCCTAAATCAAAGCACTTGAACTTGAATCAATATATTGATAAATAACAGTCTCTCAACTAGGGCTGCACGATTTATCAAAAAAAAATCGTTATTGGTGCGTGCGATATCCATATTGAAAAAAATGCGTGATTAATATATATATATATATATATATATATATATATATTATTATTATTATTTTTCCTTTATTAAAGGCAACAAAACAGACAGACACATCAACATTCAACAAGAACAACAAACAAACAAAAAAGTATATAAACATATGCATTTGAATGTCTTTAATGTTTTTGTTATTTGTCTCTTGCGTTTCAATGCAGATTCCAATTTTAGGTGAAAGACAAAAATTTCGCAATAATATTGATTTTGAAATACTAAACACTCATATCGAATATCGCTCTAATTTCCAATATTGTGCAGCCCTACTCTCAACTTCTAAATGGAATAATTCAGACAATGTGCATGTTTTAATGTACTGTTTGTGGGCAAAATTTTACTTTTTTTCACTCTTTCAATTAAGAATGATAAGAAATGAGTCCCATCTTAGTAACTTAAAACTTTTAATTGGTCTTAAGTACATAAAAAGAAAACAATATGCCATAATTTCAGCCATATTAAAACATATGAGTAATGATGTAATGATGAGATTATGTCATGGTTCTATCATGGTTCTAAAGAACCTTCTAAATCTCCATGGTTACCCAACTTTACCAGTTCAGGCTCAGACCACAAATATACTCATTGTGGTCTTGGTCTTTGAAGGGCAAACACGTATTTCGGTTTTCTCTGCAAACTTCGGCTTTTCTTGTGTTTTTTTGGATTTCAGTTTGTCCAAAACTTCTTCAAAACATCTGACGTTTTGCATCAGGTAAGACTCACAGAGAATTAGGATTATAAGAATATTAGATTTTAATCATTGTGACCTGTACTGTCCAGAAAAATCTACTGTAAACCTTACTGTCTGCAAAAATATTTTTCTAAACCTAATTTATATTCCATTAAAGCTGGGATTCCTAACTTTCCGACCACAATAATTGATTAAATCGATATAACTTCTGCTGAATACAATTTTGTTAAATCAGTTTTCACATCATGTATGTTTGACCTCTGTTACATCTTTAATCAAATTTTTTAACACAGAAAAATTAAAACAATAGACTCACCATCTCTCAGCCAATCAGCTCTCAGCCAAAAGGCAAAAACCCAAACCTAAAGACATGAATGCAAAAGATAATGTTTTCAAATAAGACTAAGACTGCAGGTTGTTTTTCTGATATGTTCACAAATTGTTCGCTTTTACAAGACTCTATTATTCAATAAAAAATTAAGTTATCCCAGCTTTGATATTGCCATTGTTAAGTGCAGTTCAAAAATTAACATATGAGACCAGTTTGAGTAGAAACCTCCCTACGACAACACAACATTTGAAGCAATACATGTTACAGTAACAGCGGTCACAGTTTTTTGAGTCATGCCTTGTACTTTTTGATCTAATTTTTCATCAAATTTAGTGTTTAGTAACAATACTACATTTCACAACCAATTGTTTTGTGCTGCCCACTTTGGGAACCACTGCATTACACTTAACAGTCACAAAAGTCTTGGTATTTTGCCCAGATCGGTGGGACATATTCACATTGTGTTTTTATCTTTTATATAGTCATAAACAGATTAGGTTTAGGGCTATATTTAGGGTTGAAACAGATAACTAGGCTTGATTAGAAATGATAGTATTGGTTGGTTATCCCCAATTATACATACATATGGCATTGTTTCCCCTTCAGTCTAAACTGCATAATTATATAGGGCCAGAATAAACCTTGAATAATGCAGTATTGTTTTAAATGGTCTTAAGTACTCAATGGCCTTGATGAAGACCCGAGAGGCATCAAAACGCAACACTATGTCCCGCCAATAAAAAAGGATTTTAAAGTTAAGTCAGAGTGCCTCAGACCATTTTCTCTTTGTTTTCTAATGCACACATTTCCCATCACACTTTTGAACCATCTTATTTTCCACAGATTTGTTTCTCTGAGCATCGTTAGCTTGCTAGCATTGTTTGCTGCTCTCTATGGAGTTGTTTCAGGACCTAGTGAAGGCCAAGGGTTGTATCTCCTCACCCTTCAACTCCTATGAGGTACAGAAGATCCTGGGCGTAGGATCTTTCGGCCTGGTCACCCTCTGTCGCAAAAACGGCAGCGACCAGAAGGTGGCGCTCAAGATGGTCAAAAACGCGCCGGGTGCAGCTGAGGTAAGACAACTAAATAAATGTTGATTGAGCACCAGTAGGTTTTTGTCACTAGCTAAGCATAATAAAGAAGCAAGTCCCAATGCTAACAGCTAAAGCAAGTGGAAGTGTCCCAAATATTTCAATATAATCTGTACAAAAGGAAAACTCGATTGTATTACTCCATATTTTGCCAAAAATAGTTTTAAGCACAATATATGTCGGGTATGTTACTCTAGTGCCCTCGACGATAGTATAGGAGAATTGTGTGAGTTAGTTTAGTGTTTTTTGCTGCAAACCTGCTGGCCTTCTAAACACAGAAGACTCTTGGGGAAATACTCATTTTTCGAATGGTGTAAGTATGTAGTAGTATGTATATAAAAAAATATATAGGTCATTTTTTTCACGCTCTGATTTTGAAGGTTTTGATTAACTTGAGAAAAAGTCAGATCCTGTAAAAGACTTCATCACTTGTGCTGGAAGTCATGATAAAATGGCGAAGCATGATGAAGCCATACTGGCAATGACTCCTTTTGAGAATGAATAATAATAACTATTGATAATGGTTTCTACATGTGCGCCCCCTACAGGCTCAATGCATGGAGTTCTTGGCTATGTGTGGATCTGCGTCCCACCACATTGTTGAGATGTTCGGCAGCTTCAACTTCAACGGTACATTATGCCTTCAGTTTGAAGCCCTGGACATTAGTCTGGGAGACTTCTTGAAGAAGTCATCGTCTCTGCCGCTCCACCAAATCCGGCCAATCATCACACAGGTATAGAATGCACACACTTCTACTAAGAGAAATGTAGTCTTTGTTATGACTGTTTTCACACTCAAGGCCTTACTTTGCAGATGGCCGAAGCATTGATGTTTTTAAAACGCATCAACGTTATCCATGGAGACCTGAAGCCTGACAACGTTATGATGGTGGATCATGTAGGGAAGCCTCTTCAGGTCAAGATTATTGACTTTGGACTTGCTCGTCCCGTACAACTCGCCACGCCGGGAAGTTTCTTCGGGACACTTTACTACAGGTATGTTAGGTGACAGTACAGGACAGGGGCATGGGCACAGAAGGGACAGACAGTCAAAGGGACAAAGAAGGAACTTTAATAGACCTTTAATCAGAGTCCTGCACAGCCTGATTCCTGGATCTACAGCCCGTCTGTCCGTGCGAGCTGATCCTCTCTCAAAGTGGATCTCCTCGAGGTTTCTCACTTTCTCTCAATGGGTCTTTAGAATTTTTAAATTGCTGATGCAGAAGGGTCTAAGACAGTGGTGATGATCCAGGACATTGAAGGACATTTATGAACATTTATGGACATTGGACATCACCCTTTATGGACCGATGGCTCCTACGTATCTGTCTTTTAAAGTTTCGCCATATGAAACGTCTTTGAGTCTAACAAGTGTTATATAAAACAAACACATTGTAATTAAACCAGTATGTTTAGGATTTAAAGACCAGTTTTAAATTGTTGACATTGTGTCTGTGCAGCGCCCCGGAGATGGCGATAGGAGCTCCGATGCACCACAGTTTGAATATGTGGTCACTCGGATGTATAGCGGCTGAAATGTACCTCGGACGATTGCTCTTCAGCGCTGCGGACAATAGTGATCTGGTGAGTGTGACTGCAATGTAAGTCTTGGATTAGATGTATTCAAGGTTGGACTGGATGACTCAATGACTTGATGGAGATGGTTTTGTTTTATCTATCATTCATTTTAGCCATTGCAACTTGGATAGACATTTAACCCCATAGTTATTTCTAATAATATCTTCATGCAGTTAACTTTAAAGATGATTTTAACACACATTTCTGCATTTTTATTTCCACAGATTGAATTGATCGTCCACATGTTGGGGCTGCCTCCAAGACATGTACTGGACTGTGGCATTAAAACACTCCAATACTTTTGTAATCCGGATGGAGAGACATGGATTCACAAGGTATGGACATTTTCTACAGAAAAAAAAACGTTTCAGCAGTGAACATTGCACCATTGTTTTGAGGGTGTCCTGCAGGGTCGGGGCTTTTATTCTCTCCCAAAACACTAAATTGTTCTTAATGTCTTTCATTTATCTTAGGCAAAAAATGGCTGTGTTACTGAGGAAATGGAGAGACCAGAACGCATCATTGAAATGTTGGGCAATATGTACATGGTAAGAGGCATACATTGCAAATAACAACACCCAGTTCAATGCATTGTATGATAAAGTATTTGCTAAGACGTGTTTTTTCTCTTCAGATGAATCCGCATGATAGCGCCGTGGATATGGGTTTATTCGTGGATCTGATCCAACAGCTGCTGGACTTGGATCCTGATTCCCGGATCAACCCCCTGGAAGTATTGAAACATCCCTTCACAAACCGGACCCAAGTGCACAAACCATGCCCTCAGTAAGTATTTGGCCAATGTTTTCTCAAATGGTACTATGCTAGTCTATCCTAGACTGGCGCGTGCTTGTAAAATACTGTATAATCTTTACCACTGCAACTATTGTACAAGTTCTACTACTGACAAATACGTTCTAAAATGTTTTAGTTTGGAGAGCCAGTCGTCCAGCTCCCCCTCTCTCTCAGAGACTCCTCCGGTTAGTCAGACATGTGGCCTAAAGAGGAAGCGAGAGGAGGAGGAAGAATGTCCAGAGAAAAGGCGGTTCAAAGGAGAAGATTTTGTGATCAGGTATGTCAAGTGTCCTCTACGTACTGCATGATCTTGTGTTCTTAAGCTTTGAACCTGTCCACTCAGTCTGTGATCTGAAGTATGACGCTTTATCATCCACATTAGCTACATTATTTTTGTTGCGTTGAATGCTGCATGTGGTCACACAAAATCTCACATGTATAAAAAGGCAGCTCCACAGTCCAACCTTGTTCTAAAATATCAAACAAATTGATAGAAATTAAAGCTGGTCATTGGTCAAATGAAAGTTCCAAGTTCACTCCTTGCTCCTGTCTCATCTTTTATGACTCACAGTCTCCCCCACGATAAGCATAGGCAGGCAATGGACACCTAGCTTTATACTATATGTGATAGCCTTGTCACTTATGTTAGAGATTCTGGGATATTTGTCCATGTCCGAAGGGAGTTTTTGATAGGAATGACCAATCATTAAGAGATCTTCCTTCATCAGTGACAAAGGCTATAATCTTTGAACATTAATCTCATCTTTTTCTCTCTTCCAGTTCTTCAGAATCTTCCAGTGGTCCAGAGTGTTTCAGCCCTGCAGTGGTATCCAGTGATCCAGAGTGTTTCAGCCCTGCAGTGGTATCCAGTGGTCCAGGGTGTTTTAGCCCTCCTGATTCACTCTCCACAAAGCACCACTCGCTACCTGGTCCGGTACCAACTCCGGCTCCTAAACTAGTTGCTTATTCCTCAGCACCTGACCCCAAGCCTCAGTAAGTATTTCACTAATGTTTTTTTTCAAATGGTAGTCTGATCCGTGGCTGTAAAATACTGTGTAAGCTCTATCTTTACCACTGCAACTACCAGGTCTCCTACCAACAAATACCTTCTAATATGTTGCGTTTTAGTTGGACGAAAGCGAGTATTCCTTCGCCCCCCTCGCTCCCAGAGACTCCCACGGTTGCCAAGACTTGTGGCAAAAAGAGGAAGCGTGAGGAGGGAGACGAGATCCCTGAGAAACGATTCAAAGTGGTTTCTGTGATTAGGTATGTAAAGTGTCCTCTATGTAGTTTATTTTCTTGATGTGTCCTTGTGTAAAGTATCTTTGTGTTCTGTGAGCTTTGAACCTCTCCACTCCACTGTGATCAACATTAGCTACATAATCTTTGCTGCGTTGAATTATGCTTGTATCAACTGCCTGTATTAAAGGCAGCTCCACTCTCCAACCTGGATCTCAAATATCAAACATATTGATAGAAATAGAAGCTGGTCTTTGGTCGTATGGCAGTTCTAGGTTCACAACTTCCCTTTGTCTCATTCTATGTTTTGGCTACGACCGACGGCTTTATAGTGTATGTGATAGCCTTGCTGTAAATTGTGGGTTGTCACAATTTGTAAGGCTTTACATAGGAAGGACTAATCATTAAGAGATCTTCCTCCATCTGTGACATTATTCACAACTTTGTCCTTCTTCCAGCTCTACAGATTTCCCCTCTGCAGCTCTGAGTTCAGGCAGAGGAGGTCATTAGGAGCAGATGGCTCCATGGGCAGGGGTGAAGAGGAGTCCCTTATCCGGGACGCTTCTGGAGAGGGTCTGTTCTGTTCTGCAACCCTCTCCACAAGTGGTCAGTGCCCCAAGAAAGAAGGGGCAAGAAGTGGACCTTGAGGATTCATCAGACCCAGCTCCTAAACTCAGGCCCCAAGCAGTTACCTCTGTAAGTATTTAAACAAGATGTGGCCAAACTGCAAATTTGGGTGAATATTGATGTAAGATGTCTCCTGCAGGTCAAAAAGAAGTCTAAAAAGGTCCAAACAGAGGATCAAGCTGCAAGGGCAGATAAAAGAGAGAAGAGAGCCTCGCTGCTGTCAGTCTGAAATGTATCCGCTGCATTTGACACACCCTGATTCTTCTAGGGCCTCTATCGGGAACAAAAGTTGCCATATCACTGCGCCCAGGAACCCATCAGATGTTGATGGTCGACTTTGTCAGGACTACCGGAGCTGGAGGATTTACCTATTGTCCATGTAGTAGGGGAAACTGGAGCACCCGGAAGAAACCTAGCCAGGCTCGGGAGACGCTGGGAGCCATGTTAGCATATCTGTGAATGTGCTGTCACCCCTGGTAATGTTTTCTTTGCCTGAGCCACGTTTGCGGACAGCTATAAGCAATGTCCCTACACAGGTTAATGATGGCCGCCACTGCTGGACAGAAAACACTTTTCTGCAGTTAACATTGCAACATTGTTTTGAGGGTGGACTTGGATCCAGATTCCCGGATCAACCCCCGTAGAGCTGAAACGATTGATCTAATAACTCAAATAATTTGATTAATTATTTCCGCTGCCTCAATGCTTTGTATATAGTAGTTTATTTGCGGCATTTTGCCTTGTTTGCTCCATTTTGCACGGATTCTTTGTGTTGTTGTGTTGGCCAATGTTTTTTCAAATGGTACTATGCTAGTTCCTAGACTGGCACGTGCTTGTAAAATACTGTATAATCTTTACCACTGCAACTATTGTACAAGGTCTACTACTCAAAAATACATACTAAACATGGGGAGGCTGCATTTCAGATTCATGCTGCTAAAATCTGGAACAATCTTCCTGAAGATGTGAGACAGGCCTCCTCTCTGACAACGTTTAAAAAAGGGTTAAAACAGTTCTGTTTAGCTGTGCATACAACTGAGGGATTTTATATTGTATCTTTTTATCTTTCTTTTTAATGTACTGTGATTATTTATGTTCAGCATAAATATCTTGTTTTGTTCAGCACTTTGAGTTGCCTTGTGTATGAATTGTGCTATACAAATAAACTTGCCTTGCCATATTTTAAATGATTTTGTAAAAGTGTCATTTTCAAGTCTTGTTTCATTATTATATATATTAAAGAACAGAGCAAAAACAACCGCGGTGATGTCGTGAGTTTGAACCATACTGACACTGTTTGTCAATGGAAAAGCATAGGCACCCGAAGTGGCTTTACCACACTTCCGGTTTAAAACACGGAAGTAGGGGTGGGAACCTAAGGGTACCTCACGATACGATATGATACACGATACAAAGCTCAAGATAACGATATTATCACAATAACGATATTACGATAACGATTTTATCACGATATGACGATTATCAATATATTGGTCAGAAATATACAATATGCCAATTTATGGCATAAATTAAAGAAAAAATACACTTTATTTCATGATAAATGGAATGGAGATGCATAATGTAGCCATATATCAAGTATTGATACCAATTTTTAAAAAAACAATTGTAAAAACTTTTTTCAAAATCTATATTGATACTTGGCAAATGCATATCGATAATCGAATCGTGGGAGAAAGTATCCCCCAACACAGAAGTGTGAAAAAGGTCTATTGGTCGGATGGAGTTCAATCGATTGAAATCGCAAACACAAGGACCAGACCCAGACATTACATGCAGGGAACTGATGATTGACCGCAGTGTATGGATGACTAAGGCCAGGCTAGAATGGGGTAGGACTTTATATTAAAAAAAACATTTCTTCATCCGACTCCTGTCCTGTATCATGGAATGTATTTCTGTTGTACTTGCTGGATTGTTGTGGTATTTTTTTGCATTTTTGTGCCATAAAAGAATGGCAAAAATAAAGGGAAGACAAACGATGTTACATGTATTTTATAATGGAATACATGGAGTCAACATACATTAATCTGTGTAAGACCAACGACTAGAAAAAGAAGTGAAGCTGTGAGGATGCGGGAATGGGTAAATATTTAGAAATTGATAATGATTGATAATTTCTCAATTTTCTCAACGTTTTTCACAACACCACTCAGAACTCTTTATGTCTGTATTGTTTTAAACTCATTTGGATCGATTGTTTCCTTGATCTTGTTCCTTCGTAGCTACAAAAAAATCTCCTAACAGTAGTTTGAATGATAATTGCAGGGAGCTCAAATTCCAATCCACTTTTACTAAGATCAACCTTTCATAAATTATGGTCAAATTAAAAACTAGGAACAGTTCTAGGAATCAACTCTTTTATAGACTACAAAAAAGATCAAATATGAGGTAATAAATGCTTAAATAAAGTGTTTTTTTATGATAATTTGAGTACATTTTAATATTATTTGACAACGGGACAAAGCCATTTAGTCTTATTTCAAAAATGGTTGCGTTTTTTTTTCACATTCCAAGGGAGACATTTCTTGCATCTTTTTAAAACAAGATAATAGTGCTAGTCCCATTGGCAGTCAAAATATATATTTTGCCAAATTTAAGCATTTTTTGTTTCTGCCGTGTTGTTCAGGTTTGATCCTACTATGCATTTATTCCAATCAAAAATTTTGCTAAATGGTCATTCTAAATCCATTATCTGCGAAGCACACTATAATAAATGCATGTTTATTCAGTGCACCTTGAGCCCATGGACCAATCCGCCGTCTGGGTCACCCCCCTGTTTTGCTAACGGCATTAACGAAGAGCTGTGTAGTTACTGTGGGACGTGGAGATGATGAATGATGTGCGTCTGGCTGCAAATCTGCCTCCTAATCTCAGCGGGAAAACAGAGGAGCAGGTGTCAGACAGGAGAAGGATAGAGGAGAGAGAGACGAGGGGGTGAGCAGGCCATAATTTATGTTTATTGATGTGTTTAGGCTGTTTGTTATTTTTATTGTTCCCACCCGAAAAGACTGGTGGAATTGGTGGCTGTAGGAAAATACAAATTCAAGAGTAATATGTCTATGTAATACAAAGCAATGCTGGGTAAGACTTAATATTATACATACTATCTGTGGCATTTCTGTTTACTGTATTTTGGGCAAAGAAATGGGTTTGAAATGATACACAAATATAGGATGTCAAAAGTGTTAGAAATCAGATATAATAAATACTAAACTAGTAATTTTGTACTGGCAAAAATCACAACTGCTGCCACCTAAAAAAAGGACTTCACGAGTAGGTTGATTTGCCAAAAGCAGACTAGAAAATCCAGCAATTGAAACAGTCATTGGTCTAAAAAAAAAAATAATACTAATTGAAATAGACTGGTGCACACTGGGGTAGTCTTGCACAGTTTCTCCAATGTGGTTTTACTGCAAATGGCAATTAAATTCTTGAAACTTAAATCTTGATTAACTAACATTCAGTTTGTGGGCAAATGTATAAACAAAAAATCCTGCATCTTCTCTTGTCCTCAGACCCTCCTTTTTCAGCAGGAGCTTAAACAAACCCAGTGTGTAAAGAGAATCCTCAAGTCTCATTGGGCAAGTATACCCATCCAAAAACGCTACCTACTTTTTGAAAAATGTTCAACAAAAGACCATGTATCTGCTCTTCTCTTAACTTGAATAAACCTTGGTGATGCTATATTAGCTAGCTTGTTATTGACATGAAGACATTACACCAGATGACCACAATTACAAACGATCGTCACTACAGAGGGAGACACCATGTACGGTAAACCAATCAGTTTGTATGAAATTACTCACACCATCACATAATCCATCAATGTTAATAACGGCAGAATTGCTTTGCCATTATATAAGCAATTACCTTCCCACACAACACAGGGAAATCCATCATGAACCCATCAGCAGCAACAACAAACACAACACCAACAACAACATGGGAGTGAGTATCCTTTATCTCTATCAGGCATGTCCAAACTCAGGTTCGAGGGACAATTGCGGCCCGCTGTGTCATTCTATGTGGCCCCATGTCTTGCTAACCCAAAATACCAGTGAGATTATAAACACAAGTTCGTAGTGTTATCCAGCCAACTTCCAATTCTCCAATTCGGTTATGTTATATCTCATTTTGAATCAATTTATTTGTATGCACTGACATTTGTCTCGAAAAATTGTCTATGCCACTGATGAAGCTAATCAACTAACCTCAGTTCTCACAGATGTGTATATACTGTATGTACAGTATAAAGGCTCATGTTACACCTCATTTAGCATCACAAAATAGACCAATTCTAGTCAAAATAGTTTAACAATCCGTGTTTTTGGCCCCTGAATAAGTCTGGCAAACTAAAGCGGCCCTATTGGTTGAAAGTTTGGACACTCCTGATCTATACAGAGCTTTTCTCAGAGAATCACAAAGTTGTTTAATGATTTTGTTTCATTCACCCCACATGGGAGTGGTAAACCACAGATTCCCTGGGGAGACTGCATATGGACTGCATATAGATGAACAATTCTAACCCCCATAGCTCAATGAAGCCCAATAGGGAAGTACTCATGCATGAAGTTTTGCTACAACTCCCTCTGGCTTTTATTCATATCATTTTGGGCTTACAAAATCTGTGGTTTAGTGCTTTCTAGTTTAGTGCTCTCTATGATCCTGGTGTTATTATTGTGATATTGTGCAGATATTAGCCATATGAAATGACAAATGAGATTTCTTCATTTGCAGGGGATACTCTGGCTTGCCTTAGCAACCACCTTAGCAACACGTCTGCCCCTGGTACGGCGCAAATGCTAATCCCGTCTAAAAAATTACCATATAAGGAAAATGGCTCCAGCTAGCTTATGTCCAAACCGGCTTCTTCCTCATTCAGCAAACACAAGGGTGACGTCAGAACTACGTCAGTCCACTCCTGAAACAGTCTAGCGATATTTATTTATTTTTTTACATATGAAGTACTCTTGTGTTTTGATAATTGATATTTGATTATTCAGAGCCCAGGTGAGAGCAGAGAACATGCTGCCTTTATCTGGTTTCAGGCACAATTTCTCTTTGTTGTGCCTTTTTGTATTCTGTGTTCTCTATCTTCTCTGTCTGGTGCATGGTGGGTTAGTCTTGCACAGTTTCTCCAATCTGGTTTTACTGCAAATGGCAAATACATTCTTGAATCTTGAATTTTCTTCAAAACTTACAATGCAATGCCTACAATAGGAATAACTGTGGATGATGTATTTTTTATGAGAGGGAGTGGCTTTCCCATCACCCACCAGGCGTTCTCTAATGTATACATATAATTTCTGAGACGATTTTTGTTTAGACTATTCTTTTAAGCAGTATAGAACAAAAAATACCTTAAGTTAGTGGGGTTTTTTTTTTACTTAAATTTGTTAATCATGCCCAACCCCCAATGCACTGATGTGTGAATGTTTTAATGGGTGAGTTCTTCAAAGCACCTCTGTACTTTCCAATCTAAAAATTCCAATCTTTTGAAAGCAAATCACGACAAGCCAAACCACTATAGATGAAAACCATTTAACGCACATATCTCCAAATGTGACTTAGAAATCTCTCTTTTGCAGAATGATGACCATAAACAAACTCTGCGCAGACATACAAGCTTCTGGAGGCTTCTCACCTTATCCGGAGCTTGTCCCTGCAGACTCCCCACGTCCAGCGGAGTGATGAGGGGCACGTTTTGGAAGCCATCCTCAACGCACACCGCTTTGGCACTGCCTTTGTCCTGAAGATTACTCCCCAACTTCACCATTTTTTCACCCGGGGTATAATGTGCGAAACTGGTCACGTAGTGTCCCAAAAGACTGCACCTGCCAATCCAACAGCAAGAAATTATTATTGATATTGATAATGATAGAACTATAATAATGGGGTTTAAAGGTGAGGTTAGGTGTGTTGTTTATCCACGCTGTGCATCACTGCTGTCTGGTGAATAACGAAGGAAACATAGTTGGAATCAAAAACAAAAAGCAATGTTGATAATTATAGTTATGCATGGTAGATTTTTTTTATTACCAAAACAATCACGCATTTAAGCTATAACTTTCATTTTCCTCTACGCGCTTTTTAAAACACGTGATGTCCCTCTATAGGAAAGATAACACAAATGGTAACACGTTTTCTAAAGGTGTTGGATATTTTACTTACGGGTTTTGAAGGTGCTTTACTGCCGGCGACGGGAGCACAAAGGGCAGGCAGAAGAGGAGCAGCTGAGCGGAGGATGGAGGATGGAGAAGGAGGAGGAGGAGTGGAGGATGCTGCTGCTGATGCTGAAGGGGGAAAGAACAACGCTTCTCCGCCGAGGACCGAGCGCTGAGTGTGGGAGATCTGCACCCGGTCTGAAGCAGCAGCTCTGCCCAACCCCCAAGCGCGCACACGCAGAGAGGCAGCCCCAGAGAGGCGGCCGGCGGAGGGAAGGGGCACGCACGCACGCTGGAGATCAGGGGAGAAAAATGTATTTAAAGAATAAAACAGTTAAGAGAGGAGGAGACGCAGGTGGAGTGGTTTTTAATTTTAGCACGCATTTGCGAATTCACATAAAATTCCCTTTCGTTAAAATTTATTAAGATTTAATTTTCTTGAAAACAGTATAGCAATATAAAAGGAAAACGAGATGTGAAAACAAAGTGCATGTTAATAAAAATGCCATTTGTTCATTAAAAACGGCTCGATATTAAAACCAGACTGTGAAGTTCAGCAGCGCCATCTAGTGGACAAATACATACAACACATGTGCCTTTTTCCTTTTTTACAGAGAGAAGTTTTACTGAAGAAATTCAACAATATTAAATCGGGTGTACATTATATATATAATAATAATAATAATAAATCAGTTTTATATAGCGCTTTTCTGGACACTCAAAGACGCTTCACATGTCATTATTCATTCACTCCATACACGCTGGTGATAAACCACTTCTGTAGCCACAGTTGCCCTGGGGCACACTGACAGAAGAGAGGCAACCAGTATGTGCCATCGGCCCCTACAACCACCACCAACCATTCACACACACCAGACTCATTCTAGGCTATGGGGGTGAAGTGTCTTGCCTAAGGACACAACGGCAGTTTGGCACTTTACATTGTGGTGTGTATATACTCCCTTATAAACCACAATGCAAGACTTTATATACAGTATAACACCAGGATACGGCACCAAAAGCAGCAGCAGTCACTTTCCAAATTATTTTATCCAGAACATTGTGCTTCTGGGCCTGAGCTGCACACACAGATCACTTACTCACCAGAAAGACTCGAGCTTCAGCCGCATCACCTCCACTGGATCTGATGGAAGGTGGAGGTCTGAGGGTCCGAGGGATTGACAGCCTTGTAGGGCAGCTATAATTCCAGTGTTGGTACAGTTAGTTTAGTTCCGTTCATAATTTTTTGTTTGATCTCAGAGCAATAATACAGTTGATATAACAAAATAAGACATCATATTTGTTTAAATACTACTTAGAGCTAAAAAATTAATTAAAAATATTTGCTGTTAATTGCTGCATGAGCAGTGAACACCATGGGTTGTTACATGAAAGTAATTAGTTACATATGAGTATTTTATATGTAATAAGTTACTTTCCTTAGTAAGAGGATCAGGAAAGTGAGTCAGTTAGAAAACTTGTTACTGTGGGGTTTTCCACATTCTAAATACTCCATGTTGAAACATGTGTGATATAGTTCCACATTATAAAGATAATGAGTGTTTTCAAGTATTTTCAAAGTACTTAGAAGTAAAAGTAGAAAGACAGTAACGTGTGTAACTAAATCCACAATAACTAATGACTGATATCCTAGTTACACTCAACACTGGTGAGCCCCGTAGTGAGTGGAGATGAGTTTGATGAAAGGTGTTGTATAAACAAAGACGAGTATTCTTTTGATAAGTTTGTGTTCGCTCTCAGTCGTACAGGGATTCTTCATATCAAAGGAAGGTTGCTCCCATCATCTGTAATTCAGTCAGCAGGTTTTCCCGACATTTCCTTCTCAAACTAAAGAACTTTCTCAAGGGAATGAAAGCTCAGCTGCGAGATAGAGATGAGGTTAGACACCCCATGATCCTGAGGGATGTCTCACCTCTATCACAGGTTATAAATCTCCAACTCGCGACTGAGCTTTCATTCCCTTGAGAAAGTTATTTGGATTGAAAACCAACCGTCGGGAAAACCTGCTGACTGTAAAGATGATGGGAGAAACCTTACTTTCTTCTGATATTATGCTCATAGACCAATCTCCATCTTTATACACTTCACTTTTTATGCACTCTTCCTCGAATACATTTAATGATCATTATTTTTAGTTTATTACATAGAGCAGTGATCTCCAACCAAAAACTACTAATATACTGTACATTTCAGATCTTATGCGTTATTGTAAATGCTAACTTACTTTGTTCACTGTAATAAAAAAAGTGTTAATATCGGGCTCGTTCTCACCAAAATATATCACCTCATTTTGTCCCGGACGACTTCAAGGAGTTGCTGTGGCCTTTTTCATCTCCGGAAAGTACTGGGTGAAAAAGGTTGGAGACCGCTGACATAGACTGTAGAAGCAGCGATTCCACATTTCTCCAGCCGGGGGCGTACGTGAGCCGTTTTCTCTTCCACAGTTGATCCTGTGCACCTCAAGATACACGCATGAGGCGCGTGCGTGCGTCTGCTGCGGCCGATAACGGGCCAGTATTTATGGGCCAGTCCTAAAGGTGTGGCCCCAAGACAGATTTAGAGCAGGACCTTGGACTGCGGTTTCATTAAAATTGTGTCAGCTGCCAATGAAATGTTTTATAGCAAGATAATGGGTTTAGAAAGATAAATTGTGTTCATCACTAACAATAAAACAGTAAGAATATATTTGTTTTGTAGATCCACGGCTTACTGAATGAGTACCAACAGTTCAGTCCACGAGATCCCCTATACCTTTTCCAGTAACAGATTTATTGATTTGAAATAACCTCAGCTTTGACCTTTTGATCCAGGAAATGCCTCGACATCAGTGTGAGCTAAACCTGAGCCACAGAGGGATTACACTACTGCACTGACGGCAATACTGAATATAGGCCGATAGTGAGGAGTGAACTGCCTAGGAAAGACCATGGATCCATTGTCTTTTTGTTCAAAACTGGACAGAGAATACAATGCATCTCCATCAAGCAAGCAGAGATAGTTATTGTATATTATTTATTTATTTGAAATGAGTTGAATGTTGTGGAAAACTAGTATAATCATGAAATAAGTACATATAAAGTTAGTATACACAGAGACAGAGAGAAAGAGCGAGAGAGACACAGAAACAGAGAGAGAGAGACAGAGCGAGAGAGACACAGAAACAGATAGAGAGAGACAGAGCGAGAGACACAGAAACAGAGGAGACAGAGAGAGAGACACAGAAACAGAGGAGACAGAGAGAGAGACACAGAAACAGAAAGAGACAAAGAAACAAAAAGAGAGAGCGAGAGAGACAGAGTGGTAGAGAGAGAGCGAGACACAGAAACACAGAAAGATAAAGAGCTAGAGAGACAGAAACAGAGAGACAGGGAAAAAGATAGAGATTCAGAGATAGAGGGATAGAGACAGAGAGCAAGAGAAACACAGAAACAGAGAGAGACAGAGTGAGACAGGAAGAGAGGATAGACAGGTAGAGAGCGAGGAAGACAGAGAGATAGAGAGAGAGCGAGAGAGGCACAGAAACAGAGTGACAGGGAGAGAGGATAGAGACAGGGAGAGAGCGATAAGAGAGAGATATGAGAATAACAAAGGATTTTGACCCTACACAGCTTATTATCATTTATAAATTGCCATAATGTGCTTAAAATTATGCATGAATTATATGGATAAGTTTTACTAAAGTGAACACTGGAAATCACCATGTTACCACCACATAATATTATGTTGTAATAAATGTTTGGCTGCGGTTCCTGGCTGACCTGAGGCACTACTTCCTGATTGGAGGTAATAAGGCCTGGTTAGTGGTTAGTGATGGCTGATATTGAGGAAATGAAGCAGGAGTGTTGAGAGAAGAAAAATGCGGTCAGACGTACCACTTCTGTGCTTGGAAATAGTTAGGCCAACATTATGAGACAACGGATGGAGAAGGTGCCAGTGGGACAGCTGTGGGATGCCCAAATATGGACTTGCTTCCGGCCCACCCACCGAGTCCTGGTTTGGGCAAATGTAACAAGAGGGAATGGGAATCTTGTGATGTTTGGATTTACTCTTACACCTGCTCAACCTGTATTATGAAAACAGTTTTTGAGGGATTGTCCACTGAAGCTAGTGTTAGTTTGAAGGATTATGAATTGGAAATGACGTTATTTTTTTGATTTTTTTGGAAATGATTGATTACTGTAACACATTGGTGGGGGACTAAAAGACAGTCAGGGATGTAATTAATGATCATTTTATACTCTATTAGTTGGCCAATTATTCATTTGATTAATGGATTAGTTGTGTGGATTACAGGACAAAAGACCTCTCGGGTCTCTCTCTCTCGGCTCTCTCTCTCTCGGGTCTCTCTCTTCCTCGGGTCTCTCTTCCTCGGGTCTCTCTTCCTCGGGTCTCTCTTCCTCGGGTCTCTCTTCCTCGGGTCTCTCTCTCGGGTCTTACACAGAAGACCAGGGAGACGTTAAAGATTTCTTTCACATCTGGCTCACTGTTTTTTGATGGATTCAGCTAAAACAAAACTAAGAATTATGCAACGCCAAAACATCTTACAACCAAATTGATTGTTTTAAATGTATACATTGTCTTGTTTTCTGCAGTAATTACAGCTCGGTTGGGAGTCATAAAACTTCTTCATGGTATGCTTAAATCTCCTGTTCAAACACTGATTATTAGATTACTAGAATTAGTTGCGATTTCTGGATTACCTGGTTACAGTACTGAAGGAAATGGTTCCACCAAATGAGTCCATCTGTGATCCACCGTGAGTGAGAAGAGAAGCCAAAATACAAGGAGTGAGGTAATCGATTTGCTGGCCGGAAAACAGCCTTGGTTTTCCTTTGTGTTTACTTTCAAATTGCGTCCTGTATAAATATTCCTTTCTGCCTTTTTGCACTTCTAGCACAGCTCCTCCACCTGCTGCTGTGCCATGTCCTCTGTGAACCCTCCCACTTACACACTGGGATGGTGCGTCACGGCAACAATAATTGAAACCAGTCCATGTTTTCATCACAGTTAAGATTTATTTCATTCAACATTTCACATTACAAATATTTAAAAATTATGCATACTGTTATAAATAGTTGGCTGCAAACAATTAAATAACATTAGATTTTTCTTTTTCGTTTTTCACTAGCACTTCTACAGACCAACTCCTAGAAATATGGACATATCCGTAGTACATAACTTAATTAGAAAGGAAAATACAAAAATAGGAACTTATAAAGTGAAATGACGATAAAAATTAAGGTGATATCTTAAGTAAAAAATGCTATTAATAAATACAACAACCTTCCCATACACAGTTAAAAACTATTGAAATCTTGCCATTAAGTAACAACATTAACAGACAAATATTTAATATTTATTTTCCTTCAGAAAATGTGAACCATATATTGTGGAGCACAATATAGCAATTAGTAAAAACTAGACACTTTAACATATTAAAAGCTTCACCTCAAAAATATAACAAAAATCTGATCAAAATTATAAAAATCAATTATACATTCCAATTAAAAATATACCAATAAACAGCTAAATACATTGTTGACCTAATAATTACAAAGCAATCAATCACAGTAGCTTGAAATAAAATAGGCAAATAAGCACAAAACCTTTTAATGTTTTAAAAATAACTTCAATTATTTATATTAGTACAAATAGTTTGATTTCTTTTCTTTTTTACAAACACCAGCATGAAAAGGATTACAATAACAGTAGAAAATGACTGTGAAAAACATATTAACATCTTTTTTAATTAAATGTCTGCAATTAAAAATGGCATTAAAGAATTACATTGCAAAGAGTCTTTATCTGGAAAAAGGTTCAAAAGAAGTATTGCACATAACAACTTGAAGTTAACTTGCAACATTTACCACATTCAAGTCTTTAACGCCCCTTCCTCCAGATAGGTCTATTATAGAAAGATCAAGACAGCTCAAGTCTAAGGTTAGAGTAAAAAACAGTGTTCGATACGGATGCGCTGCCCACTTCTGTTTATAGAAAGTTTGTCTCGTTTGTCTTTAGAGGTCTGCGAATGGGGAAGCGAGGGGTTCTCAACACGTGGGGGCGGGGTCGGGCTTGGGGGAGGGGACATCGTGTGGGACTATAGGGTGTCCTTAACAACGCAATATTTGAGAAACATTTGGTGCACACCACAACAATTAATTTGTATAGCTAATTCATGTACTTGTCATTTTCTCTTTTTTGTCATGCATGCTAAGGATTACGATAGGTGCTAGTTGGCAAGTTCAAGAATATAGATATATATATATAGATATAGATATTTATACTTTTTTTAAATATTAAAATATCTAAACACCAAACATCCATTCGTGTGATACGAGATTCAGCGTTACGCCTGAACCGAATTTTGCATTCTCCTTATAATAAGTTAATGACTCCATCGACGGAGAGGAAACCGAGACAGAAGTCACTATTTTCCAACTAGTAGAGCCGTGGTACAAGGCATGAACATCCATTTAATCACAACAACAGTTTTTTTGTCTTTTTGTCGCCATGCTGTTACTGACACATCTAAAAGCTAAGACCAACAGTTCACTTTGGTCTGTCCTCTGCAGATCTGAAGTCGCCTCAACACAAGTGCGCACTTATAGTTGTAAAGATTCCTCAGCACTGAAATGTATAAAAAGCATAATTGAAAATAATATATATTGAAATCACTCAACAGCCCCATATATGCAGATCTCTCAGTAACAAAAGTACAAAAGCTACCTTTCACAATGTGAAAAATTGAGGTATTGCAAAAAGGAGTTTCCCCATTCGTGAAAAATGTGCCTAAAATGACTGTTGGAAAAAGAAAAACTATTTAGAAAAGTAGTGCATAATAAATGTTTATATGTGCATGACAAAATAATTTAGCTAGAAAACACACTGTACCAAAAATCAGCAGGCCATGTATAAAATAATCTTTTTTTCTTCTCATTTTAAACAGCAAATTCTTCACAAAGTGTTTAACTTCTAAAATGCTCACCCACCCCACCACAAAACTCATGTCCGGGTACAAACTGGTGCAAACTGGACACCGCGTCACAAATGAGGGTAGGCAACTCACTAGTGTAGACTCAAGTTTCTGTAGACGGCTCCCTGACGTGGTTCCACCGCTCGGCGACTTTTTTAGCCAAATCCGCTGGCAAACCGAAGTCGCTCCAAACGGCAAAAAGATTAACGACTGCGACTGCGCCCGTGGATGTGCACTTTATATATCACGTTTATGTGTATATATAAGAGTTTCAACGCAAATAAGTCGCCTCCATGTTTGAGCTACGGAGAAGTGCGGGGTCTGACTGCACCTAAAATGTAGAAATAAGTTCAAGGCCAATCTTTGGTTTTACCAGAGTCCAACAGGTGCGAGCGAGATAGTTACTGGGTAGATAGTGATAAAAAAATATATGAGAATAATATAATCATAAAAAAAACTTGAAAATGAGCTACAGCGTGACCCACTACTGCACCGCCATCTTTGGTTCCCTAAAGGTGGGTAAAAACCTTTTTCTTATGGGCAGCCCAGACATGTAGAAGTAGTAGTAGTAATAGTAATAGTAGTAATAGTAGTAGTAGTAGTAGTAGAGCGCACTGCACGGGCTAATCTTCATTTATGCTTCAAAAACACTGTTGCTGAGTTGGCAGGAGGAAGGATGGCGGAGGGTCACGGACATAACCCCCGTGTGTCAAATGTGTGCAGATGAAGTCAGATCATCTTTCGTTGCTTTTTGTGGGTTTTGTAAAAAAATTAAAAAAATAAAAACGTTGCTGACTCCGGGATGCGTACATATTGTTCCTTTTAAAAGACGTGGGCGAATTGCACAAATGTATTTCAAAAAACTAACAAACAAACGAAAACAGACAGGCATTTTTATATATATATATAAATGTTTTTTTTTATACCATTCACGACTGCAAAATAAACGAGGCCACTAAAAGATTTCTCTGGCTCCTCCTTCTCCTCCTTCTCCCCCTCTCCTTCCAGTACATTCTCCTAAAGATACTTGATGATGCGCTGTCTGTCTCTTTAACACAACCCTGGGATTGATACAAAAATAAGGTGATGAAGCAAAGTGAGTAGAAAACTGTGCCGTTTCCGATTTCGCGCGCACACAAAAAAAACTCGCAGTTAACCCAAACCCCCCTCCCCCCGCCTCCTCGCATCGGCGTAAGGAGGGAGGCGGGGGAGGGAGGGGTCATTTGTTTTTTTCTCTGCGGCGGAGATAGCGAGTTCTCTTCCGGTTAGTCTCCTCTGGAATCGGCACATTAGCAGCTGAGTTTGAGGTATTAGTTTTTGCATGCGTCTAAAATGGAGATCCAAAACCCAAATATATTATGTCTTATATGTTGCTTAGAGATTTTCTTGTGTGAAATTTTCAAGTAAAAACATTTGCGGTAGAGAGATTTCTTTTCTCTTTGATCGAGGAGGGTGAATATTCGTCGCAGTGGGCCCCTCTCATGTTTGTCAGTGATGAGAAATTCAGCTTTGGTAAACTACAAGGGTCTCCTATACTGAAACTGCACTCTCTCTAATGGAAATAAGTGCACTCTTCTTTAGCAACACCCTTTTCAAGTCATGTTTGCTCTAGAGCCCCTTTTTCTTTCAACAATAAACAGCCAATAACGCACTGTTCCCATTGAGTTTGCCTCGAGACATAATACAAACTGAAACAGGAACAGCTCTGCTACACAAAAGATTTTAAAACCACATTTCTTTTTTTTTTAAATGCTCAGGCCAATTCAAAGCAGAGTACCATCACACACTTCAAACTTTCCTATATATCCATTTGTATGAACTCATAAAAATATCTTAAAAATCAAATGTATAAATTAAATTACATTACACTTCTTTTTTCTTTTCTTTACATTTTTTCTTTGCTTTTTTTCAAAATATAGATATGCTATATATTAACTTAAAAAAAAAAACGAGAATCTTTTGGGTGAACTTTGAGCAAAAAGGAACCAGCAACAGAAAAGTGCATTTATTTGTACAATGATTGGCGACTGGTGCACTACCTGCCCTGCCTGCTGCTGTGGCTCAGTTCCAGCGGAAGGAGATGTGTCGTGGCCGGTCTCCCCCTTCCTTCACCAGCGGCTTGTGGAACTCCCGTCCGACCCGTGAGTGGATGGCGGCCCAGCAGTACTCGCAGTAGTACTGGAGACAGGTCACGTTGGCGCAGAAGAAGGGCGCGAACTTCCCCCCGCAGCGGGTGCCCTGGCACTCGTCGCACAGCTGGTCGTCCAGCACGTATGGCTTCACTTCCACCTGCGCAGGGGACCGGGAGGGACATGTGTTAGACATGGGTCAGGGGCTCGACTTTAGATGCACAACATGCGGACATAAGGACACAATCTAAACACTGGTAAGAGGAACATGAGGACTTTAAATACACAACATACACAGGGACATAAGGTGTACACTGGTCAGAGGAGCACAAGTTCAAATACACAACATACACATGGTCTGACACTGAGGGAGCTGGTATAGGGACTTCAAATAAACAAGACTTAACAGATAAGATTAAATATGGAATAATATGAATATGAAATAAGAATAATATTACTAATAATGTATACATTTCATATAGCTCTTTTTGGACATTCCAAGACACTATGAGTCACACACACTCAGACTGTCCCACTCGGTCAATGCAGCAATGATGGTGTTGACAAACCAAGGTCTAAGCTCGGTGTGTTATTTCTCCAGTATATGGACTCACTGGCTTCTGAGCCTATACAGGAAATGATTTATCTTTTATCGGTTTATTTTGTTTCTGAGAATGCGTCTTCTGGTATGGACCTTTTACTCTTGTGTCCAAAATTAAGTATTGAATTGAATTGAACACTACCTAGAGGTCTACCATCACAGTACTAACCAGGCCCTTCACTGCTTAGCTTACAGCCCCCTTCTACTACGCGGTAGAGGTACACTCTCCACTAGACCCTTTTACATGTATGATCATCTGTACTGTACATAACCTTTCACGTAATTGGAATGTAAGAGAGTTCAACAGATACAATTGAATGGCTTTTTTCAACACCACATATTGCAAATACAGATAAACTAATGGCAGATATGACCCGCATACTCTTGCACAAATTTCCAAAATGATAATCATTTGAGTTCTCTACAATCTCTTCCATTGTCCCATTTTCCTCTAAAGTGGATGATAAATGCTGTGTCCTCTTCTCACGTAAGTGTTAAGGTGTATCAGTGATTCTAACATGGGAATCACGACCGCAGGACGTGTTCCTCAGACCCAGAGAACGAATGATTGAAGACCACTGTGCCCCTCCATCTTTATCTCAATGATTTATTCACTTGAGGCAGCACTTTTAATCAACCTATGTTTTAGCACCTGGACAGCGCAAACACAATAACGGCTTCAATCTCAGACTTAAGGCAAAATGACAACAGCCAAAATGCTAAGCTAAGTATGCTACTGCCTCTGTATATACGAGTACAACATAACAAAAAGACCTTGCTGTAATTACATTATTTACAGTATTTGTTCATAAAGTGACAAAACTGTTTAGCCACTGAAAAAGTAATTTTTAAACAACTCAGCTTGTGATAGGATTTTAAGAAATACTCCAATATATTCACACATGTAAGAACAACAACAGCTTACAGCTCGGGAAACTATTTATTCTGGGACGTTCTTCTTGGCAAACTTCTCCATTTTCTTGCTATTTTCTAATGCGCTACAAGACTTATTTGCATTTGAGATCTGCACACTGATCCTTTATCAGCACTCCCCTTCGCAGAGCAGATTGAGCTTTAAGACGCTTTCAAATCTCCAGCAACTAATACATTTTTTTCCTCTTTTGTGCACATGACAAGGACAGCTTGAACAGCAGCCTGCGTGCCGGCTGCTCGGACGACAGAAGGTGAAGCTGGACCTTGAGCTGCAGCTGAGAGCTTTGCATAACCACGATGCAAAGTGCAGTACAAACGACATTACCACGAGAGCTTTTTGAAATATTACAGACGAGGGCGTCGATGGTGTTGAGCATGTGAGAGCAGTGGACACATATTCTGCTGCAGCTTTTCACAAACAAACTGGGTCACGTCAGATTTGCCTTACAAATTATCTGGACAATTATAGAATAGGAAACCAGCAAATAGTGTGAGCAAAAAGTATGTTTTGAGCATTGATTATTTTAGTGAACGAGCTGCAACTGTATAACACCATTTGTTAAAAAAAAAATAACAATTTGACCCCAATAAAAACTTGAGTTTAGTAAGTCAGAGTCAAGTCAAAAATGAAAAAATCCAATACACATGTATCCATTAGGGACTTTGGCATTTTTAGAATAATTGATCATACGAATAATTCCAATAATAGGTTTGACATGTACATGTACTTTTATGGTAATCAGTCGTCATTGTCAATTAAGATCTATTTTCTTAAATTCTGTCACTAATCCTTGTTCTGAAAGGGGCCCGTTTTTTGTTTTAAATGAGGTGGTGTTGATGTTCCCCATGGGGGAGATAAGGCCTATAGGGCGTGGTCCTTCAGTTGGAGGTGTCCTGTTCAGTGTGCTCACCCGTTTATCGATCTCTCCATGCTGTAGCTGCACAAAGCGAGCGCTGATAGCAGCTATGTAGCTCTGCTGATTAGAGAAGGCCACCCGCCCTGCTCCTTTGGGGTACTTCAGCTCCGGGTCTGTGTCGATGCCAGCGTAGCACACCCCTCCGTACAGCCGGTCCATGATCATCGCCAGCTCCACTGCAGAGCCACAGAGAGGGGCCGACAGAGAGAGAGGTGAAGAGCAGAGAGGGACAGAGAAACATATCCATTAAAGTAATGTCTGAGAGGAAGTACAAATACACAGTGTTGGCTCCACGCGGCGCCTCATGACAGCACTGCTAAGCTCTGACTTAACCAAACAAATGGATCACTGTTCAGTTCTAGGACAGAAAAGAATGGACAGTAACGTCTGAAAAACATGTAACAAATACTAATGTTTATATTGACCAAAATGTCCGGGGCGCCTGTTCTTTTCAGAGGGTCATGGTCCGGCGTGTAAGAACAACTCAGCAGTTGACCCTCTTCAAACCCAGCACATGCTCAGTGTGAACAGAATGGACAATACACAATGGCAGCAGAACGTGCCGAGAAACAAGAGAGAAGCTCTTATCGTCAAAGTTTGGGATGTTCAATCCAATCCACTTTATTTATATAGCACATTTCATAAACACAGTTTCCAAAGTGCTGCACAATAAAATACTAAAAAAAAAACATTGGTAAAAAAGTCAAACAATAAAAAATAAAATGCGTGCGTGCATATATGTAGAAATATAAAAATAACAATAAAAAGATGAAATAAAATGACTCCACACTCCATAAAAGGAGCAGTTTGAACATGGGGGGGAGAGTTGAAGTCTCCACATGGATGACAAATTTGTCATAGTCCAGACTAATATTTTTGGATGTTTCTAGTGTCCTGAATATGACGTTGGTACATGTGTTTCTCTAGAAACACAAAAAAAAGGTTTACAATTATAATTCCGTCCCCGCTGATTCTGGGTATTTTGTATCTTGCCCTTTTCACAAAGAGGAAGCGGAATCAGCAAGCTTTTACAATGCAAGTCCAGTGTTTACCTGTCATTTGGTCATGGACACAAACATACTCTAGTATGTATCTCTATTTGGCTTCTCCCCTGGATTTTGTTGTTGTTGATAATTTTCACCATAAAACATTCTAGAACAGCCATTCCAATGTAAACTTTTGAGTGACAAGTAAATAATAAACAAGTGTAAAAGAGGGTCAGGGAAATGTCATGTCTGTCATGGCAGGAGGACGACGTGCTTCATGATAGAATGCCCTTGGTGAACTGTGGGCTCGAAAGATATTCTCACACTCTCAACAACATCACAAAGGCATTTGCCCTTCACATGGAAAATACTTAGCATAAAACTTTTCTTCACAGAAACTGCTTCTAATGACACCAATCAAGAGAGATGTAGTCCTTTGTCTGCAGTTTACCCAATGTTTATTAAGAACAAAGTGGATTACCAACTCACTTTAAACAACAAATAAAACAACATTAAATAATCATCACTAAATAATCAATATCTCACTGAATTGAAAGGGTTTAAATACCTGCACGGAGCGGGCGAGGCACTCCTCCCACAAATATTGTTTTCCTTGGGTCCAGAGGCTGAGAGCCGTCCATCACAAAGTCGCTGTCGTTCAGGTTCCAGGGTCGAATTTGAACCTACATCACAATGGTACAGTTACAAAACAGATACCTCTTTGGAATATATCCTGCAAAATGTCTGGATCATAATTTCATTTTGGCACATATTTGTTCCCTATTCTTTTCCACAAGTAAATACACAAGTAAATACATCTTCTACTGTGAATTTTATATACATTTTCTGGTTTGAACGCTTTCACAAATCTGTACTTTACTCTTCCATAGAATTATACAGTCTATACGCTCATTGTCAACTACATTTCAGCCATAAAAAGCGTAGTACTTTAGTAAAACATAAAATAGAATAGATCATCATTATAAAATAAATTCCTGCTCAGACAATCTGTTTAATGAGGTTCCCCACTCCTCACTCCATTTAATGTGACCAACTGTTCTGTCAAATAAACACATGGACTCAAACAGAATTAAAAAGACATAAGCCACGCTGCGCTGCTGCACTGACCGGCTTGTCTTTGATGGTGGGGCTGGACACGCACAGATACAGTTTTCCGTCTTCTTCGATGCAGGCGTCGATCAGAGCCTGAACGGAGCTCTCGTCCTGGAACAGCAGGAAGGCGTACCCTGCACACAGCACAGGATCAGCACACATTCTTGACAGGCCTCAAACTACTGCACTTTTTACTGAAACAGCCTCCGACATACTGTGCTCACAGAAAACAGACAAACCCTGCTGTCGAACGTTTATGGTTGATGTATTCACCTTTTGAGAGCTGTGTTGATTTTAAAAGTGTGATTGGCAAATGGTACACATCACATATATGACATCCAGCTAACAAGTGATGCAACCCAATGATCCAATACAGTGGTTTGTATGGGCTACCTCAGGGGTCAGGAACCTATGGCTTGGGAACCAGATGTGGCTCTTGATAATTGTGTCTGGCTCTCAAACTAATGTTAGTTTAGGCATTAATAGTAAGAATGTTTTATGCATTGAATTTCTTCTGCATCCATTTTTATATAAAAAAATAATACATTAAAGACTAAAATCTCACTCTAAATGTTTTAATCCTGTTTTAAAACGTGTATGGCTCTCACAGAAATAAATGTTTAAGTATGAGACTTTTTTGGCTCTCACAGCTAAAAAGGTTCCTGACCTTTGGGCTATCTTGTGAATAGCCCTTATGAATTGTGCTTATTCAGGGGTAGACATAACTAAAAGTTACTTTTAGTGCAGGTCCCATATAGATTTCATACTTTGTTCTGATGTGGACTTCAGCAGATATTTGAAGTTCAACTATTTCTACTGCGAGACTGGGGTGGAAGAAATGATTACAAATACTAAAAATAAATATACATGAGCTTCAAGGAGAGACCTTTGACTGGTTTTTGTTCACCCCTTCTCTGTACATCCTCTATATGTACAACTCAAATTGACAAATGGGTGGGTAAATACATCACAGTAAACCTAATAAAATCTAACAAAAGGTGTTGTATAGTATTACATGTGCTTAATAACATGACTGCTTAAACCGAGCTAAAGACAGATGTATTGGTTATTTGTCTTTTCACTGCATGTGTTCATGACTTGGCCTTATTAGCATTGTATGGGTTGAATAAATTATATTATTTGTGTAATTGTCAAGATGTAATCAAAGATCAGCATGGAGCCCTTAAAAAAAACCTAATCCAAATATTGATTTGCCAAATAATATAGATGTTTCACTTCATGTTTCTGTCTTTTTGAATCTGATGAACAATAAGATAAAATACACACATTATTATTTGAAAAAAAAGAAGAAAACAAGATGGTTTTCCATAAGCGTGTCCTGTTAGCTTCTGTATTATGTGCTCTTCACAGTCAGGAAAAGCAAACTTAGTGTGTACCTTTGGGAGGGAAATAGGATTTGCTCTCTGCTTTGTGAGGCCAGTCCACAAACAGGTGACCGAAGCGGCGGAAACTGGCTGTGATCTCATCTGTAAAGAACCACACATAATTCCATTTGCTTGAGTCCACATCTGTGAGAATGTGCATTTCCTGTTTATATTTCATCTCTGCTTTGAGTCAGTGGGTTTGTAAAAATACTGAATGTACCTTCATCTATATCAGGAGGCAGTCCACCCACAAACACTTTGCGAGAGTAGCGTTCCACTCGCTCCCCGTTCTGATGTGGGAAGCAGTGAGGAGAACCCAGACCAGCCAAACCCTCACCACGCTCATCATCGGGAAAGCAGTCCTCCATCGGGAAGAGGGAGGAATGGCCTAAACACAGGGAGAGAGAGACAGGGTTCAGAGAGCTTTATCTCCTGGGTAAAGGGTTAAAACCAGGTCAGTGGGACATGGTATAGTGATAATGGCAGATGCACTGTGGCAATTATGAGAGTGCCTTGAGTCATTCACCTGATGGGAGGAAGTGAACCCATCCCTCTGGCTTTCAGCGCTTTTCTACTGACTTTCATTTTTACCAATACTTAAAAGTATTGATGCAAATATGTAAATGACCAAAGGCCCTTTGATATACCAAAGAAGCTTGATCTTGCAGTATAATCAAGCTATTTATGTTCTACTTCAAAAGCCAACATGTGTTCAAAAATACAAGTGGGTGCTCCTTAAAGAATACTACTGCTAGCTTGCGACATTTTTCCCCTAATAAGATACAAAGCATCGCCTTGGAGAACATTAACCATATAGGCGCAAAAAGGCCCTGAAACTTTCTAAGTGAATAAGGAGTCGGAGGTCTACCATTTAAAATCTATTTTTAAATTAACAGATAAAAAAGAAAAAGATATAAGAAGAAATACTTTTTGGGAAGCCAGGTCACTGTATTGAAAGTTTCCTGGATTCAAAAGTCTGCTACTTTGGTGCCTAAAGTTCTATTATACAGTATTACTCATCTACTGTATTGTCAGTTCAGAAACAGGTTAGAAAACCCTCTTCAATCCAAATTGCTTCTTAACCACATTATCTAAAATAAAGGTGAAACTTCGACAATTAGGAGATTGTTTAAGTTCCTTTATTCCAATAATTCTACTTAAAATGTGAAACCAAAATATGATAGGGACTCATTACACGCAAAGTGAAATATGCAAAGCTTTTGTTGTAATGTTGATCATTATGGCTTACAGTCCATTTCCAAATATTATTAAAATATGTTTTAGCTGTGAGCCATTATTACAAACAAAGGCTTAATATATATCTCACTTTGCGTGCAACAAGTGTCATATATTCATTTCAAATTGTAAGTTCAATACAGAATTAAATGGACTTTTGAACGATATTCTAATTCCCAGAGTGTCACCTGTAAAAATGCCAGAAACAAAAACAAACAATGGAAGAAATATGAACCGGTTTGAACATAACACAACACATACATTCACAGTGTCTATCCAGAAGGACAACACAGTTTCTTAAGACAAAAGGACAAACATTACAGAATCATGCAATTACAAAGAATGCATCAATGAGAGCGAGTAGTAATAATTATTAATGAATGATGGATAAGTGTCCGGTGCGTGTGTGGTGCGGCTGTACAAGAGGAGAGTGGCTGCGTGTAGTGAGGTTAAACCCTCTCTGCCCTGTCCCTGCGCCCATACAACCTGCTCTGAGCTGCTTTATACAGATTTATGGGAGAGTTTAGCCTGGGCTTACACTGAGCGCTCCAGGCCATGTGCCGCTAACAGAGAATGTCTATGTGCCTTGTTATGGGCGCAGCCACTGGGGGTTAGCGTCTTCCCAAACGTGTGGCTCTACAACTCGTGTGGAAATCCTGGCGTGTGGATGGACGGTGCGCAATGACGAGTTTGAACAAGGCCCGACACTTTGACAAGTCATGCAGACGGCGTGTCATTTCACGTATCAAGACAAGAAGCAAACGTACACAAGCACAGAGATGAACAGAACTAAATTAATGGGTAAATTATAAGAGAAAAAATAAAACGATGATTCACGATGAATCAAAAATAATAATCTATTAACAAAATATTTTTACCTCGTCTCCTGCTATAATTCCTGGCTGCAGGTGGGACAGAAAAAAATTGAAAATGTACATTATAAAACACTATGCACATCGCCCCTAGGTCAATGATAAACTATGCAGAAGACAGAAGATTCAAGGTTTTACTGAATATAGCTTAATTAAGTAGTATTTCCTCAGGCCAAAACAACTAACAGAAGTGCAAATTATTAGTGTGACTATTCCCCATGAAGCATTCATGTGGAGTTTTGTTGAAACAAGGTCACCGTCAGCCGCTGTGACGAAGATTGTATTTCTTTTTTAAATGAAGAAACTTTCAGAAAAGCACATTCAAGGGAGCATCAACTTTGAAAGAATTGTACCGGATATGTATAAAAAGCAGCACCAAGTTAGTGTAAAGCGTTTGCAACAGTTCAACCGTATTTCTCAATTATATACTGTAATAACTTCACAGCCTTCATAGAACACCATGTTAATCATCAAAAACACACTACAATTGCAAACTAACAGCTCTTATTTTAGACCAAGAGCTGTTTATTGTATTTCTTAAAATGAGGGCTGGGAGTCAATTACATTTTTTTTATCTAATTAATTAGAGGCTTTGTAATTAATTAATCACAATTAATTTCATTTTAATCACATATAAATATTTGACCGAGAACAGTGATATTGTTATTTTGTTATTTTTGTTCAAGTACAACAGACCATTGCAACTTTTGCTATATTTAGAAATATACTTCCCATCTGTAGCTGATGTTACTGTAAACCAACGTGTTCACATCAGCTTCTTTGTTCATGTTCACTGTGCCACGAACCAGTGCGGAAACCATAGCGAAGCGAGTGCAGCTGTGAGCCAGCGTGCCAGTGTAGTACCGCACCAAACACAAACTTTAGACACTTTGCACAGACAGCAGTGGGAACAGTGTTTCTCTGAGTCAGTTCTGTCATTGGGGGGTGTGGAGACAGGCTAGATTTGCGGAAAACAAGCCTGTAAGTCGTGCGGTGCTCCAGCACAATCGGTCTGTCTGAAACTCACCTAGTGAGAAACATTCTGCGGTGCAAAAAGGGAGATGACGATTAAAATGCGTCAGTTTTTTTAACACGCTAATTTTTGTGTAATTAATTCATCTTAATTAACGCGTTAAAGTCCCAGCCCTACTTAAAATAGCAATGCAAGACTCAGTGGAAACGCTGTGGTGAAAAGAGGTCGCTGTCTTACTCACTTTAGTTCATTTGATTTTGAGCAGCTAAATAATCAGAATATATAGCTACCACCACTATCAATAAACATATTTTTATTCATAGAATCCATAAATGTGTGGATTGTTCTGATATTCCGTTTATTTCCTGAGATATGAATTAATAAAGTTGACGAATATGAGGCAGAGTGGGCCACAGATAGTCTGGACTCTGAAAAAAAATGAGTCGGGATATCCTCGGCATTCCGCGCGGGTTAATGACGTCGCCGCGAGGTGATATTTACCGGGTAAACAGATCACTTATTACTGCGCATTACGGTGAAAGCGGCATCTCTCCAGCTGTTGCGGTTACGGAGATATAATCCGACGAACTTAATAGAAAAATACACGGTAAGTAACCGGGGTTTTGGAAAACCAACACCACACACATACATCTAAGATTATAAGCTTTAGAATGATGGTATATTTGAATCATGTCACGGTTGTTTTGACCCGCGGATCAGTGAATAAAGTTGAAAAACCGCCGCGCTCATCACACACTCTGCTCTGCTGCCGAAGCGGCAGGCAAGTCCGGGCGAGTCCACTTTTCCGGGGGGTAGAAACGCGAGTCACGTGGCCCAAACGGACCAATGCCATTGGTTGGACTAATCCATTTTACATGTTAACAAGGGTGTTTGGGTTGTTAACATGTTTAAAGCTCGGGTCTGTAACTTTAGTCTCATAAATAACATGCTTAAAGCTGAGGTCTGTAACTTTAGTCTCGTAAATAACACATTTTTAAAGCTGAGGTCTGTAACTTTAGTCTGATAAATAACATGTTTAAAGTTGAGGTCTGTAACTTTAGTCTCGTAAATAACACATTTTTAAAGCTGAGGTCTGTGACTTTAGTCTCATTAATAACATGTTTAAAGCTGAGGTCTGTAACTTTAGTGTCATTAATTAAATGTTTAAAGCTGAGGTCTGTAACTTTAGTCTCGTAAATAACACATTTTTAAAGCTGAGGTCTGTAACTTTAGTCTCATTAATAACATGTTTAAAGCTCGGGTCTGTAACTTTAGTCTCATTAATAAAATGTTTAAAGCTGAGGTATGTAACTTTAGTCTCATTAATAACATGTTTAAAGCTCGGGTCTGTAACTTTAGTCTCATAAATAACACATGTTTAAAGCTGAGGTCTGTAATTTTAGTCTCATAAATAACACGTGTGTGTGTGTGCATATGCCAAAAACATTTCTAAGCATCATATTTAGATTGCTCCATCAATTACCTTTATTTTGATATATTACATTGTAGTTTGAAAAAAATGTTTTCCGGATTTCATGTTGGCAGCCATCTTGGATAAGCTGGCGGCCATATTGGAATCGGGGTCGGCCAAATTGTAAAATGAATATCGAATTCAACATCCCTGAATTGTTTCCTTCTTTACTGTGAATTTTAATGTTTATAGTTAGTAAAATAGGGAAGTTACAGCACTTAGAAGATGAATAAAGGCTTGAACTGGCTGAATAGAAGGTTCCACAGTATCCCTTTGTTTTAAACCAAATTACTTTCACTATAAGCGCCTAAAAGCACTTATCAATATGGTAATAAAATCATAACCACTTATCCGATTTTCATAATTCTAAAACTGTTTTATTCCTCTTACTGAGCTGGAAAGTACTGTGCTGAATTAAATCTGATTTGGTAATTTAAAAAATGTAATCTTGCATTGCTACTTAAAATGTTTTATCAAATTGCAGTACAGAAATTACATGAAGAGAGTGTTTCAAATTTAGGAACCAGGAAAAGTCCGCAGATTGAACCTTGAGGAGCTAATGTGAAGATAAAGCATTGACAGCAATAATATAGAAAACAGAGAAAGAAGGCAGGAGATGTACTTCATGTGGGTTGTGTTCTGACAAGCAGTGCAGTAAAAGAACCAATGAAAAATCAGTTAGTGTAATACGAGCATGTCATATGAGTGCGGTAGATTTCAGTTATTTCTCCCAGAGGACTGCGAGATCTGCCAAGAGTAATAAAGGATCCCAACATCGAAACCCAATGTCACACTTCCAAAGTCACAAACCTGTAGAGGATATGTTAAAGCTGGGGCACAGAGGCACAGAACATAAAGCATGTTTTTCTAATACCCAACGACCACAGGGTAAGATTTCAAAACGCATTTATGTGACATATCCATCCGCCTGCCAGTGCTAATGCTGCTGATTCTAATGTAAACGTAGCAGAGAAGACAGCAGTTGCACAAAGACGAGGCTTGTAGGCGCTGAGCACACCATGTATGACTAACTGTGTTGGTTGACAATTATGAAACCTTTTCAAGCTGCAACTAGAGCAGCAGCTGCATACTGATTTCACCATAGAAAATGGCACTGCAATGGCAACTGAAATGTAACCTCAGTATAAAGGCTAAAGAGAAAGGAAAGCATAAAGCAATCTTAATGGGTTATGAATATAAGGATGGCATTGCATTGTGATGCTGTACATTGCTGATGAGAAGTCATCCCTCTTCAAACATGTTGCTGGGGGGGAGTGCTGGGTGAGCTGAACTCGGGGAACAGGATCAGAGCTGTAAGCGTGTTGGCAGGGCGCTGTAGGCTGACGCAGCGCTGAGATGGACACGTAGGGCGGTTGCATGAGCAGGTGGCACTGAGCACTGATGGACATTGCAGGGCAGCGGCTTGAGCATGTGGCAATGAGCAAAGATGGAAGATTGGCTGAGCAAGCAGTGTAGGTGAAGTGAAGCTTGGATAGGTGAGAGAAGGAGTCTCAAAGATTGCTTCTGCTCCAGAAGCCAGATATTGCCTGTATGGCTTTGGAAAATATTCACAGAGAAATCCAATCTTTTTCAGCTCTGAAATATAGTAATAATTTGTGCCACAAAGGTCATTCAAAACACGTTTTACACCTCACCTGCCGAGTTTTATTTTCTTAGCAAGAAATAAGGTACATTTGCAAAGATCCCCAGTGAATTGGTAGAGCGTCAAGTGAATTAGAATGAAGTGGACACCGGAGAGATTGAAACACTGACCCAACTAAAAAGTAAGACCAGGGATAGGATGAAGAGGTGGCCTGAACACACAAGGAAATAATCCAGAACGATCTCAGCGGACTTTCTAGCCCAGATGGACATTAACTCTGTGAGAAGGTCAGAGGGAGCAGTGCCGAGATGGGAGAGAGAGAGATGGTAAAGAAGATTGGATGAGAGCAGGGAGTGCTATAAATAGATGTGTGAGAGAAACAGAAAAATAAAGCGTTGGATAAAGAGGCTGCTGAAGTGAGGGAGAAAGAGGAGAATGATGCGCGCAATCTGTGTGTTTATGAGACAAAGGAGGGGAGGGATCTCTGCTGCTGAGCTGGTGAGTCCTGCCTGTCCACTGCACCATCTGCCTCAGGGCTGAGACAACTCTCCACACAATGTGAACAGACCATGTGACCACAGGGACGCACATCCATGGACCTTGACCAGGTGGATCCAAAAACCGCAAAGATAGAATTTGTCAAGAAGGAATCAGGCAAATATTACCATGAGAAAGAAAATAATTGAACAATATTGTTTTATTTCTATTGGAGGATCAATGTATGTCATGACCATTTTTATTCCTAGTAAAATAATGTCAATATTTTTCAATTTGCAGCTTTTTTTATGTATATGATATTTTGTTATAGCCAGAGATCCACACATTGCGAACCAGACGCCTGTGGTTGAGAAATATCAATGCACCAATAATGTTGCATTTAGGCCAATAGCCATTTTTTAACAGAATCACATCGAATCACTTGGAAATATATTGTATAAAATCATATTGGACTGAAAGTGTTCAAAATCTAAGTATGTATCATAGCGTGGCATACAGTAAGTAAGGTACCCATCGTATCAGCACACTCTAAAATATACCCAGCCCAATGGAGACCACTCAAATCCAATGTAGAATGGAGTCTATTTTATGATTAGGAGATTATTTTTGATTGGTTTCAACATGGAAACTATCCACCAGGCACTGCTCCAGCAAAAAGATCATTATACTGCATTATGTAATATAATGCTGTACAATATGCCACGCCCTATGCAGTATGCCTCATTATGCCCCATATGCCCCAGTCAACATTTTAAATTGTCTGATTCAGAATGAATTTGTTGATAGTAAATGTTACACCCTCAAGAGAGCTTTGAAAATAAACAAAGCATCACACCTTTCTGCAAGTAGGTCACTGTGGTGGTAAAAATTACAGCCAAAAAGCAAATGAAGTCATGTCTGTTCTACAAGCATCAACGTGGCATGTTGCATAGAATTTATGAGTTCAGTTTCAGACGCTGTCAAACGTTAAAAGTTGGGAGAGTCTTGTCTAGTCCTCTGTTCTTATTTAATACCCCATAATAGCACTTGTTTTGACAATACAGTGTTGCCATTGTCAACTGCTTCTCACAGCAAACAAGAGGTGAAATAGTTGCATCAACTGTGTTTGGTGAAAAATACTAGTGTTAAAAGTACCTTAGGAGACTGGAAAGAGGGTCGCAATCAATTTGTGACATTTGAAAAGCAGGACACTAACCCTAAATATTTGGTTGTAGAGAAGTACCGACACTAAACAATTCATAAAATGACGCAAAAATATTTTAGCAAATGTAATATTTGTCATACATACCATTAAGGGAGAGAGAGTTATCAGTGCCGGGATGAGGGAACCCCAGACGACCTGTACAAAGGAGAAAACAAATATTTAGTCAAACTGTTTAGTCATTTTGTACGTGGCACAAACATGTAGCAAAAAATAAATCAAATTCAAGAGGCTTCGGTGTTGTAGTTGCTAGCCTCATAGTTCTGGTCCAGTTCCTGCTAGTTTTTAGAAGTAATATAGACATTAATAGATGTTGTCCACAAATGTCTTGTTTCAATGCGTTTCATTAAGCACTTTACTTTTATTATTGAGACATTCCATGTGAAAAAAATACTGAACTTATCACAGTGAATAATTAGGATGTGGGAAAGGTGTGAAAATGGTCCCAACATAGACTCCTTCACATTATTGTAAACATGTTTTGGTGTTGCTCACAATAGTTAGTGCTTATCTGATCTCGATGTGACCCATTTCACAGTAAACAAACCACAAAACATTCTACTCCTTGTTTATAGCAACAGCACATTGATATTGCCTTTCATTGTTGCACCATCGTTTGGGGATTTAACGGCTATTTTTGAGATTTGTTATAAAAAAAAGGTGTGATAAAATGTGAGATCCAGTGGTGTTACACTATAAAACAACCTGGAGCTGCGTTGCTATCCGGTCCTGATCACACCACATAAATTAAGTAGCTTCCAATTTAGCGAAAAGCCACAAGGAGTGAGCACAGGATAATGTTCCTTATCCTGTTATTGCCTCATGTGCAAAGATTTACTTTGCTCATGGCTGGTATTCAACAATGGCTCTCACAATGTAGGGAACATTCCAGACACAAGAAGGCCACGGTTTGAGGTTTGCCGAAATCTCAAAATGACTCAAGGCAATATGCTTCAATGTTAGCACAAAGTATTTCTCCGTCAGCTCCTCCGCTACACTCCCAGTCTCATATCATACATTTAACATTTTGCCATTTGCCAGATCTTTGGATTTCACGTATTAACACACCACACTGGCTCATGATGTGACACTGAATGAGCTTCAAAGTTAAGCAAGGCCGGCTCACTCGATGGGCTAATGGCATGAAGCAGCCAAAAATACTGCCACTATTGTTTGAATGGGTACAAGCAGCCCTGCATTTGGTGCATCCCCATCCCTCGGTCACAAGGAAGTCTGATGACCCTTCCCCCACAACCAGTCTGGTTTGGAACTGTGGTGTGTAGAAAATACAGGACACCAGAGGAAGCGGGACAGACCACCCATAGATTCAGGAGTGGCTCAAAACCACGGTTTCACAGCACATTTATTATACACCGGGCATAAGGACAGCTTCTACAGAGCTTCAACCAGTGCATATTGAGGCAGTGTCCATGAACAAGGCCTTTTTCGCATATTATGTAGAATCAATGTATGTAGAAATGTTTTAGCATAGTAAGAATGTATGTATTGAAGACAGCAATTTTTCCAGGAATATTATAGGACGCCATTTCAAATCAGATCCCTAAATAACTCTGATAGCTTTGACTAGTGCCACACCTCAATTTATAGGCATGCATTTAATTCATGCATAAAACACCAGACTTTCATGAATTTCTTAGATGCATACCAGAATGATTTGTACTATACGTTTGCAAAATCTCTATACATATTTTTTGATGACACAGTCATAGAAAAAGATGCGCGGGGAGGCGTGGCGGACTCCATCTTGGCTCGGTCTCCAAAGCCTTTAATAGCATATGAAAGTATGTTTGTGAGTGGCACATCCCTGCGCGTCTGCTGCTAGCATGTGCCCGCTCTGTGAACCTGATTAGCATGCTGGCGGCTGCATACATGTACAGTACAACCCACAGAGCTGCAGTGTGTCTCTGGCCCTCAAACAGTGGGATCCTTTCTGCCATCCGGGACAATGCTGGAAGCTTTTCAAAGCCACTTCAACAGTACAGTTTTTCTCCCCTCTGTGCCCTCACTTTGTCCAGTATGATGTGCTAGAGGAGCAAGAATGGTGCTGCCCAGTTTGCGTTTTGACATTGGTGAGCGACAGAGAAAGAGAGATGTGCAGTAATTATGTTTCTCACTTGGCTGTAAGCGGAAAATAGAGGCAGGATACGGGCATGAAGCGTAATTAGGAAAACAAGGAGTAAACTTGGATATTTGTGTTGCGAGCTAAAGGCTACTAGGACAGAAATGGAATGAGAACATTGAGTTTTTGGCGCAATGTGGACACTTTTGTTGACATAAGTGAACCAGAAACAGTGTGTGACGGGCCATAATGTCACAATGTTTTAAAAGAAAACAAATACAATGTCTCAACTAGGGACTGACCAATTTGTTTTGTTTTTTAAAACTAGATACCCATTGAAATGACCTTTATGATTTATATTTTGTGGAGCTGAAGTTACCTGAATGATGATTGCTTATTTTCTCCCAAGCTACAGATTTCAAGAGGTTCTAAGCCTAAAAATTATACTTGGCATTCATTATCAGAGCAGATGTAGGCTGTATATTATTATTGTGCTTATGATCTGTACTTTGGCCGAGTGTTAGCTTAATATTTTGCAGACTTTTTACACACATTAATAGATTCTTGGATTGTATCACACAAATAGCATTCTGCAGCTTTAAAATGAGGCATTAGAAGACTTGTATTATAATAGCCAGTTTTATTTCAAACTTGCTTCTTTCCCTACTGTGGGACGAATGAAGGACCTTTTAATCTTAATCTTAAGAATGCCTCAGATCGTCTTCCTTCTCTTCACAACATGTTAGCTGAGACAATGAATGAATGTATGAATTGGTGGCTGAAGTGGAGGCAGCAACTTTCAATGATGAAAAAAATTGCACAGACATTAAAATTGGCCAAACCGATAAATGAGTTGACCCCTAGCTACACATACCAAACAACTACAGACTTAGGATTTATACCAGACAATAGTAAGTTAACATGTTTCAACGGTATACTGAAGTGTACCGTCGAATAGGGGTGCAACGGTTTGAAAAAAATCACGGTTCGGTTCGTACCTCGGTTCAGAGGCCACGGTTCGGTTCATTTTTCAAAAAAAAAGTGTTGTCTTTTTAATAAACACAGCTCATGTGGACTCGGCACCTGCTCTGACTGCCCCCCCTGACCTAGAAATGAATTAAGGGGAAGGAAATGGATGGATGGATGGATGGAATATTCCATCCATCCATCCAATTATGTCTATTTAACATAATTAATGAAAAACAACACAAAGTGCAACATAAGAAGGCACTTTATGAGGATATTTACTCTCATATATTACACCACCTTCCTGATTCTCCCGAGGAGGCGCTCCATTCTGGGCCCAGCCTCATTCACTGCATTTCTTTAATTTTTGGCATTATCAGTTGTGACTGGGATATCAGTACTGGACCTTTGTCTTCCATTCCTCCACTGCTGTGTCAGTACCTGCGCTGTGTGACTGTGTGACTGTCGTAGAGGGGGCGTGTCTGCAGCGCCAGACTTTTCATCTCCCAGTCTGCGGTGATGAAGTGAGCGGTTCCGCTCATGGATCTATTATAGGTTCCGCGGGACGTCCAAGCGTCAGTCGTGAGCGCAGCTGAGGATGCACGGGAGAGTTGACTTTAGCCCGGTCTGACTGTGCGTAAAGGAGCTGCTTAAATGCCGCGACAATCAGCGGTCGTTGAGACGCTTTTTTCACTCATGTCTTTCTTGTGCCACAGTGCTTACACATCGTGACAGTTTTGTCGAATATTAATTATCAGTATAGTTACAGTGAAGCCAAAATGCTCTCATACAGGGGATTTAAATGACGCGGGGCTTTCAAGCATCTCCGTTCCTCCGCTCGCAATGACCACGCTGTGTGTGGACTGAATAACGTGCGCACAACTTTTTTTTCATAAATCAAACCGCGGATCACGTCTGTACCGAACCGAAGACGTTGAACCGAACGGATCACGGATCAGTGATGAACCGTTGCACCTCTACCGTCGAAACATGTCATGGTAATAATATACTAACTTACTATTGTCTGGTATAAAAGAACCAAATAACCTTATTCTACTAAGACGACAAGATGAATCTTCCACTATTCTAACTCATTTCTTTGTTCTGTCACTAACACACAACCCTTTCATTTAAACATAATTGTTGCTGTTAATCTATACACAGGTGAAATGGTGATACGGAATATGATCATCGTCATTGAATTCACATTTGATTTGCGCACTGCAGCAGAGGTCAAAAGAGCCGAACTAGATGGTCTGCACCTAATAATGCAGACACCAAAAACATGACATAAGGGGGGTGTGCAGTCAAAGGCAGCTGCGATTTGGTTGAATTGTACAATGTAACTGGTGGATGACAATAATACAATCTAAAAGAACAGCAACTGTATGGACTTTTTAGTAATATCTTCTGGGTTTACTTCTAGAACCAGAAAAACCTCCTCGATACTGCACATGTAACTGCTTTTGGTTCAGTCTCAAAACTTTCAAAAACACAGATAGATTGTTTTAATATAGTGAATGTATTTAGACTAAATTAAAGTGAATGGTTTCTCTATGATTTAGGGGACCAATAAAAATAACCTATTTTACTGTAATAATTTGCTCTATTGTAAGAAAAGTTTAGCGAGAAAAGAAAAACACAAACACAAACTCCCACAGTTTGGATAGATGATAAAACTTCAAATGTTGTCTGCAGTCTGATGATTTAATATTCTAAATGTGTAGGCGTATTTAGTGTGAGCTCGAGCAAACAGAAAATGACATCAAATCAATAATATAGTTTCCTGTATACTGTAGCATCAATTCGGCATTTGTGTTATCCAGTTGCAAACTCCACATTTTGGCAAAGTGTACGTGTTTAAAAAGGTCTACAGTGAGGACAAAAACAGTAGCCTTCATAATTTGATGCAAAAGTCGTCACCTGCTCATCTCAGTTTCTTTTCTTTGTAGCTGTAAATATCCAACGTGTTTTATTACCCGGCATTCAACAAAGTGATTCAACAGTTCCAGCCAAGAAATAAAAGTTTAACTCAAGCTGTGTGAGCTGTCAGAGATCCTCTTTATTTGCACTATTAATCCTGAAATGTGAT